CAGCCTGTGCTCCAGGGGTCTGAGGCTCCCACTGTCCGGAAAGATGCCCACACCCACGGCACTCGGCCTACAGCAAAACCCAGCACCTAGCACGGGGCCCGGCCCACATTCCTGTTGAGCGAATGCGGGTTCAGGGTCATATATATGTATACACGCACGCGTATGTAGAAGAATGACCACTTTTTAAAAGACGTGTATGTAAACGTGTATATGATGTTCTTGTTAGCTGCGGTTGAGTCAGCCCTGACTCCTGGCAACCCCGCGCACGACTGAACGAAACGCTGCCTGGTCCTGCACCCTCACCACAGTTGGTTGTGGATCGGATCGTTGTGATCCATAGGGTTTTCATTGGCTGATTTTCAGACGTTGATCGCCAGGCCTTTCTTCCTAGTCTGTCTCAGTCTAGAAGCTCTGCTGAAACCTGTTCAGCATCCTAGCAACACACAAGCCTCCACTGACAGACGGGTGGTGGCTGTGCATGAGGTGCATCGGGCAGGAATTGAACCCAGGGCTCCTGCGTGGAAGGCGAGCATTCTACCCCTGACCCACCACTGCCCCATGATAGAAATAAAACACACGTATTTACAAGAGCGACTACTTTAAAAACAAAAAAAACAGGACGTGGTATCGTAAGAGTTTTAGACTCAGAAAGGCCTGGACCCTTAGGTCCTCAGGAGCCAGGCAATGCCCTGTCTGGACCTCCATGTCTGCCCCGGTGAGGCGGCTCATCACAGCGCTCAGCTCACAGAAGTCCAGGACCAAGTGTGAGAGCGCGGGCGAGCTCAGTGTGGCGGGCGAGCTCGGCACTGGCGCTCGGGAGGCGGCCGCAGTGGGGGTGGGCGAGGGCTGCCCGGCGCGGCGTCCCCGGCCCCGCCCTGACCCGCCGCCACGTGCCACAGGAGCAAGCGGCGTGGGTGTGTCAGTGCGAGGAGAGCGTGGTGCAGCGGCTGGAGCAGGACTTCAAGCTGACCCTGCAGCAGCAGAGCTCGCTGGACCAGTGGGCCAACTGGCTGGACAACGTGGTCACCCAGGTCCTGAAACAGCACGCCGGCAGCCCCAGCTTCCCCAAGGCCGCCCGGCAGTTCCTGCTGAAATGGTCCTTCTACAGGTAAGGTCCTGCGTCTCCCAGAGAGCCTTCCCAGGAGGGCAGCGGGTGGGGACTCTCTGAGCTTGGAGAAAATGGGCGCTGGTGGGCTGGGGCACTGGCTGGTGTGATCGTCGTTGTCAGCTGTGGTTGAGTCGGCCCTGACTCACGGTGACCCCGTGCACAACAGAACAAAACGCTGCCCGGTCCTGCGCCATCCCTGTGATTGGCTGTGGATCCGACCGTTGTGATTCCTAGGGTCTTCCTTGGCTCATGTTTTGGAAGTCCTTCTTAGGCTAGACGCTCTGCTACAACCCGCTCAGCATCCGAGCAACACGCAAGCCCCCAGTGACGGGCAGGTGGTGGCTGCGCATGAGGCACATCGGCCAGGAACCCTACTGAGCTCTCCTGCATGGAAGGCGAGATTCTACCACTAAGAATTCTTCCCAGCCCAGCGGGAAGGGGCAACTTAATTCTCCGTAGAAAGGAAACCAGAACACACACAGTAGAATATGACTCAGCCCCAAAGAGGAGTGAAGCCTGATACGCGCCACAGCACGGAAGAACCTGGAGAACATTACGCTGAGTGAAGGAAGTCGGACACCAAAGGACAAACAGCGAGTGACCCCACTTATGTGAAGTCCTGTCTTGTTAGCTGCCGTCAAGTCGATTCGGACTCCTGGCACCCCCACGTGTGCAGAGTAGAACTGCCCCACAGGGTTTTCAAGGCTGTGACCTTTCAGAAGCAGATCGCCAGGCCTGTCTTCTGAGGCGCCTCTGGGTGCATTCGAACCACGAGCCTTTCAGCTGGTAGTCGAGTGCCGCACCATTTGCATCACCCAGGATTGCCTTTGAAATATCTAGAATAGGCAAGTGTACAGAGATCAGAGTTTATTCATGGTTACCAGGGCAGGAGGGAGGGAAAAAGGGGGAACGCATTGCTTAGGGGACACCGAGCTTCTATTACGGGTGATGGGAAAATCTTCGGACAGATAACAGATGGTTGGACCACATGATGAACATAATTAATGTCACTGAATTGTCCTTGGGAAGACTGTTGAAATGTCACATCATTTGTTACATATATAGTGACCACAATAGAAAAAAAAAAGAAAAAGAAGTGAAACCAAAGGCTGGATGTCAGAGGTCATGGGGTTAAAATGGGGCATTGCAGAGACCTCCACCGACTGAATGGAGAGACGGTCCCCGCCTGCTCAGCACCCAGAATGCTGGCGGCCAGGCTGTGCCCACCCCTGCTGGTGGGCAGAGCTTGGAGATCCCCGCCCCTCTGGAGAAAAGGCCTGTACATACTAGGGGTGGGATCCTGCGGAGAAACGCAGGGCGCCTGCCTCACACATTCACGGAAGCCCAGCCCCTCTGCAAGCCGGACACCTGTCTGAGAGTTTCTCGAGCTTTCTGGTACGTGTTACGGGTTGCAGTGTGTCCCTCAAAAGATACGTTGAAGTCCTAACCACCGGGACCTGTGAACGTGACCTTGTTTGGAAACAGGGTCTTTGAAGGTGTTATCAGTTAAGTTAACACGAGATCGTACTGGGGTGGGGTGGTTTCTACGCTAATGTTACTGACTGTGATGGTTCATTTTATCTGTCAGCTTGGCTAGGCTGTGGTTCCCAGTTGTTTGGCCAAACACTAGTCTAGATGCTGTTATGAAGTAGTTAAGTGTGATTAAATCAGTGAAGCAGATTACCTTCCATAATCTGGGTGGGCCTCCCCGCATCGGTTGAAGGCCTGAATTGCAAAAAAGGAGTTTTCCTTTTTGCAGTTGTGTTGTTATTATCCAGACTACAGATAGACATCTGTCAGGACTCCTTCACTCTTCACTCTCCCCATCGTCGGACCTACAGAATCTCCAGCCTGTTGCCTGAACTACAGATTCTGGAGTTACCAGCACCCACAATTGTGTGAGCCAGTTCTTTAAAACAGATAGACAGATGGACGGACGGACAGGTAGGATAGTGGTTCTGTGTTTCTAGAGAACCCTGACTAAGCATTTTGGAACTGAGCGTGAGTGGTGGTGTATAAAGGAGCAGACTAGACACAGACATAGACCGATGGAAAGAAACCGCGTGAAGAAGCATCTACAAGCCAAGGAACGCCCAGGAACGCCCAGGGATACCAACAGGGAGGGACCTTGCCCTAGAGATGAGGCCCTGATTTGGACTTTTAGCCTCCAGAGCTGTGAGAATGATAAATTTTTGTTTTTAAAAGCCACCCACTTGTGGTATTCATTTTACGGCAGCACTAGATTCCAGGGTGCATGCACAACCCGGCCCTGGAACATTTCAAATAATTCAATATACTGATTTGTTATCTGCTGTCCTTCCTGACTCATCTGCATACCCCATTGCTGGCACATAAGTACAAACTGGGCAGTGTTTATACTGTGTCTCTCAGCTTTCCTTGTCTCTTCCTGCTCCTTTTATTGCTTCAATATTGAGTAGACACAACCAAGATTATGTAAGTTTTGAGATAGGACATGCAGGGTTTGGGGCTCTGTGGCACAGGTGTTTGTAGGCCAGAGTTTTCGATCAAGTGCCGTGTTATATAATTCCTTTGGATCAAGAGTTGGTAAATTTTTTCTGTAAAGAGCTGGATAACAAATATTTTTGGCTTTGCAGGCAATATGGTCCGTTGCCGCTATTCAACTCTATGACTGAATCAGGAAAGCAGTCATAGATGATCTGTAAATGAATGGGCATGGCCATGTGCCAATAAAACTTTATTTATGGACACTGAAATGTGAACCGCATATCATTTTTGCATATCATGAAATATTCTTTTGGTTTTTTTCATCCATTTAAAAATGTACAAACTGTTCTCAGCTTTCAGGCTGTACAAAAACAGGCAGAGGACTGCGTCTGACCCCCAGACTGTAGTTTGCTAAGCCCTGCTTTAGGTGACAGAGACTTAAGCACCCTGAAATTCTGTCTGTTTTCAGGTGCCACAAACCACCGACCCTGTGGAGTGAAGGGAGGGGGCGGTTAGGAACCTGAACTGTGGGGAAGAGGGAAAGGCAGCTTACTGAGGGGGGGGTGCCAGCTTCTGGTCTGTACTCTGACCTGGAGTATCTGTCCAAGAACCCAGCTCTCAAGGCTGTACTGGAAGCAGTCACACTGATGTTTTCAAGTGGCCTCTTGCTTTAGGGACGAGTGCTTCTGTCCCCCGTGTTCCCGCCGGTGGTGAGTTGGCAGCCCATCCCCACCCGTCAGTCCCACGGTGGGGAGGCCCCCCATCAGCCAGGAGGGTCTAAGGAGTGGCCGAGGAGCACGGAGCCCAGGTAGCTTTGTCAGACTGCCCATGGCCCCATCTCAGCCCCCGTCTGCCCCCAGCTCCATGGTGATCCGGGACCTGACCCTGCGCAGTGCCGCCAGCTTCGGCTCCTTCCACCTGATCCGCCTGCTGTATGATGAGTACATGTTCTACCTGGTGGAGCACCGCGTGGCAGAGGCCACTGGAGAGACGCCCATCGCGGTGATGGGAGAGGTGAGGCCCTTCCTGGCCCCAGGACCCCTGTGGGGTCAGATAAGGCCAGGCCTGTCTGGGGAGGGCGGCCTCCGAGATGCGGGCACTGGAGCACGGACAGAGGGGAGGGAGGCCCATCGGACCCCGCTTCCAATCCCAGCTCCTCATCCACCTACTCACTGTGACCTTGGGCAGGGTCTCCTGCCTCTAAACGAGGCCTCACACACCACCTTCCTTGTGGTTTTATGTGTCTGATAAAATATATACCATTTTAACCATTTTAAAGTGTACAATTCAGTGGTGTTAAGTACATTCACGATGTAGTGTTAACTATCAACACTGTCTGGTTCCAGGATGCTTTCTTCCTTCCAAAAAGAAACGCCATACCCATCAGCAGTCACTCCCCATTGTCTTCTCCCCCAAGCCCTAGGCAATCACTAATCTACTTTCTCTATGGAGCTGCCTATTCTGGACTTTTCATATAAATGGAATCTTACAACGTGTGGCCGTTTGTGATGGACTTCTTTCAGTCAGTGTAATGTTTTCGGGGTTCATCCATGTTCTGACATGTATCAGAACTTCATTCCTTTTTACAGCTGGATAATATTCCATTGTCTGCATAGACCACATTCTGGTAATCCAGACATCTGTTGATGAACACTTGGGCTTTTCCCACCCTTTGGCTATTGTGAATAGTGCCGCTACGAAAGTTGATGTGCAAGTATCTGTTTGAGTCCCTGTTTTCAGTTCTTTTGGGTGTACACCCAGGAGCGGAATTGCTGGGTTGTGTGGGGAAGAAATGAGGTGATGCTTGTCGAGCTTTTAGGACATTGAAGCCCGTGATAAATGGCAGCTTTCCTCAGCGGCCACGGCACTAGCCCTAGCCCCGTGGGGAGATGTGCTTGTGCCCAGCAAACTGGCATGGGTACTGGCCCTGGAGGGAGACCCCGGGTAGCAGAGGTGGCTCTCCCCACCTGCCCCACTATAAGCCAGACTCAGCCATACCCAGGGGATTCTCGTCAGCAGCTCCCTGTCCCCTTGGCTGCCCTGAGCAGTTGGCACCCCTGGAAAGGAGAATCAGAGGGGACCCCCAGACACCCAAAAGTGCCCAAACCATTTCTCAGTAGCAGAACCCAAATCACTTCTCAAATATTAAAAGCCCTGCTCACTGTGATTGAGGACTTTGCTTAAGGGACAGTTCTGCTGACATTCTCAAACCCCCTGAAAAATAAAACCTCCAGCCCTCGGTGGCCGTCCCTTAACTCTGGCTTCTCTCTTTCAGTTCAACGACCTTGCCTCCCTGTCGCTGACGCTGCTCGACAAAGGTGGGTGTGTCTCCGGCTCTACCGGAGCTTATTCTTTGCGTTTTGGGCTGGCTTCCCCATCCTGTAATAAGCAGGTGGAGTCGCTGGGTGGTGCAAATGATTAATGCGCTCAGCTGCTAATTGAAAGATTAGCAGTTTGTGTCCACCTTGAGGATAATGGAAGAAAGGCCTGGCGATCCGATTCCAAAAAATCAACCATTGAAAGCCCTCTGGCGCACAGCTCTGCTGTGACACGCGTGGGGTCGCCAGGAGTCAGCGTTGGCTGGACAGCGACTGGTTTAATAAGCTGGTAGAAACCAGCACCGCCTCGAGGCCGGGTTGAGGGCGCTGGGGAGCTGGCGCCCAGATTAGCAGGGGACTCTGTAAGGAGGCAGCTCTGCCTTCCTTCTTGCCCACGAGCCTGCTCATGGGCAGAGCTTTGGTGCGACATTTAATCCCACTTCCCGACACCCTCCACTCTGGGAAAGGACCCTCCTGCCGCATGGGGGTGGGGGGACAAGCGGCAGGCCCGAGAGGCTTCCGGGCCCCTTCCTTGCCCTGTGGGGTCAGAGGACCAGCCCCTGGCCCTGCTGTGAAGGGCAGGACCCCAGCAGCCACAGCCCTATGGGGACAGAGGGCCTGCCTCACGCAGGAGGCCTGGTATTCAGGGGTGAAAGGGCAAGCAATGTGGGACAGGGCCCCTTGGCCCAGAGGCCCAGGCAGGTCTCCCAAGGCTGTGAGGCCCCTTCTGCTGCCCCGTTGGTGCCCCCACGGCCTCCTGCTCAGGGCTGTGCAGCTCTGAACTGTGCTTCTCTCTCTCCCCGCCCTGCCCCCCAACGTGGACCCTGCAGACGACATCAGTGACGACCGCGGGAGCGAGGCCGACGCAGACGTCCACAGCCTGGGCGAGCCGCTGGTGAAGCGAGAGCGCAGCGACCCCAACCACGCCCTGCAGGGCATCTAGCGCCGGGGCCTCGGGCTTCCAGAAGGTCCCGGCGGCCGCCCGGGAGCTGGACGGCCCAGCGCTCACCGACAGTGCCTCTCAGACAGCGCAGGGTTTCCTCCCACTCCAGGGGCCTGGGGTCCGCACGGCCACAGACTCGACATTCTCAAAGAAGGAGAGTGGTGTCATCTCGGCGAAGCTGTCGGGCGGCCCCCGCGTGCCCGGGGCTGTGTCTGTGGTGTCTCTGAGAAGGGAAGTGGGACCTGCCTTAACAGCTCACCTGTACCCACACCAGGGGCTCTCTCACGCTCCCAGTGTACCTGCTGGAACTGCCAACTTTTGGTCCGAATCCCAGACGTCGGGCCTTCCAGAGCTGAGCAAGTTGGTGTCCTCCAGGTTTTCTTCTCCATACAACTGGTACCAATTTTCACCATGATTAAAAAGAAAAAAAACCTCAGACAGAGCCTGAGGGGGAAGCAACAGCCTTTTCCCCTTCTTGTCCCGCCACTGCGGGGCGGGCGCCAAGCCCGCGGCTTCCATGGAGTTCTCCCTCAGGGATGGAGCAGGGGCCACCACCGCCCATGGCCTTCCGTGGACAGGCCATCTGCAGCTCCTGCCCTCCCAGGCTGTGCTGAGGCAGGTAGCAGGCTGCGCTCACAGCCTCCAGCCGCACATGGGAGATGCACAACAGATGCCAAAGGACTTGAGAAGCAGCTGCCAATGTCCCCGTGTCCCCAGACATATCCACAGCCATGGCCCCATATGGTTCTCCGAACAAGCCACAGAAACAGAGGCCAGCACGCCAAGACACAGTGGTGCCTTTAGAAAACCCACACCAGAAGTTTTATCAGCAACGGGAACAATTTGGGGTTTTGCCCAAGTTCAGTCAACGGCTGGGTCTGGAATGCATTTTGTTTCTCGTGTGTTCCAAGTGGGCCAGGGGGCCTGGCGGTCACAGGCACCACCCTGCCATGTCTGTGCAAGCCCCAGCGCCTGTGTAGGGCTCCGCAGAATCTTCCAGAACGCCTGCCTTTAAATCCACAACCCTGGCGTCATCTGACCCGGGCAAGTCCCATCTGGAACTGTTCAAAGTCAAAGGGATGCCGAGGACTTGCGTAGCCCTGAACTCTACGCTGTGGATTTTTATCCAATCGTGACATGTAGCTGCTGCATTGGGTTAGCTCTGTGCAATAGTTCTGTCGTGAAAACAACTGCAAAGCAGAGAGAGACACCTCTCGCCTCACAAGTGCCGCCTTATGAAATAATAGTTTTTGTTTTTGGAAATATGTTTATACGGATAGTTTTGTGCTCTGTTATTAGAAGGTTTCCTGTGAACATGTATACTGCAGTATATTCGGTCCCAAATACTTTTTCTCATTCACAAAGAAGGTACTAATGTAAACTCACGTGGCCTTTTAGAACCTTCCAGAACAACAAGGGGTGCACTGTGCCTTTCCAGGCCTGCGCCTGGGATACAGGGAGGGGTGAGGGGGATGGAAGAGAGAGATCCACGTTTATTTTAGAAGCAAAAAAACTCCGTAATAATCTCAGTGTTGGTTCTTAGATTTCAAGATTTAGATGAAGTCAGACAGAAAGAATGTTTTGAAAACCTGTCTCTGCTTTCCTGGGAGACTTTTCCGCTCACTGGTAATGGATTGTAATGACCTGGCTTTCCTTCCCATATGTGGTAACCAGAACAAACTGGGTTTCTGCCTTAAGCGCCTTCTGTTCCTTCCCAGGATTCCGCGAGGAGGAATATAAACAGTAAAGCACACAAGCCTTCCGGTCTTGTTTCTCGTAGCAATAAATGCACCAAACGTGCCCATCTTGGGAGTCACAGTCCACGCCCCAGCCCCGGCCCGCCCCCACAAGGCCCCGGGAGGGGGCAGCCCTCAGCCGGCCAGCCCCACCGTCCCCGTGCAGTCGGCCTGGCCGGCTCGGGCCTCAAGAGGTAGCAGCCACTAAGCCACTTACCCTCCCCTCAGGGCCACCTCGGCTGCTGTTCTAGAACCTTCCAGAATGAATAGTGCACCCCCATTAGCAGGACCAGCCCTTGAGCCCATAATGGCAAGAAAGCATTTCCTTGCCCAGGGTGTTTGGTGTCTCATCTGGAAACAGACTAGACCTGTTCAGAGACGGCAGAGTGAGTAGATGCTCCGTTGCTGATGGAACCCACCACATTGTTCTCAGGGAGGGTTCCGTGGAGAGATGGGGCCAGGCCTCAGACACTGATGGGGCCCACAACACTGTTCTCAGGGAGGGTTCCGTGGAGAGGTGGGGCCAGGCCTCAGACGCTGATGGAGCCCACTGCACTGTTCTCAGGGAAGCTTCCACAGAGAGATGGGACCAGGCCTCAGACGCTGATGGGGCCCACAACACTGTTCTCAGGGAGGGTTCCGTGGAGAGATGGGGCCAGGCCTCAGATGCTGATGGGGCCCACCACATTGTTCTCAGGGAGGGTTCCGTGGAGAGATGGGCCCAGGCCTCAGACTCCCTTAAGGACCAGTCCATGTACTTAGTGGAAACTTGCTGATTCCTGAGCCCCATCCCAAGTGAGCCTACCTAGGTGGGATTGGGGTGGGCCAGGGATCCCAGCATTGCAACCTCCCCCTCTCAGGGACTCTGACACGGGGTTGGGGGGTACTTTGGAGAAACCCTGCAGAGGAGAGTTCCTGGCTGTCTTAGGCTGGCTCTCTAGAGAAGCAAAACCAGTAAAGCTTGTAAATATATATAGAGAGAGATTTATATCAAGGAAACGGCTCATGCGATTGTAGAGGCTGGAACAGCCCAAGTCCGTGGACCAGGATAGAGTCTTCTCCTGATTCATGTAGCCGCAGGGACTGGTGAACCCAAGATTGGCAGGTCAGAGAGCAGAGCTCTTGTTTACAGGCTGTGAAGATTGAAGAATCTAAAGATCGACAGGTAAGCTGCTAGCTCATGTCCCAAGAACCGGAGGTCAGAAGAACAGGAGGCAGCTGTAGGATCCAGAGTGAGCAAAAGCCAGAACGTCCGCTTATTTTTGGCCACAGGCCATATGCCCAAGGAAACTCCGTTTCAACTGATTGGCTACTCACAGCAGATCCCATCGTGGGAGTGATCACATATAAACACTGAGAATCATGGCCCAGCCAAGTTGACACACAATCTTAACCATCACACTGGCTCAGGTACCCAGGACCCATAGGGAAGAGAATGTTCTGGAGAAGTGGGATGCCGTTGACAGGCAGCAGCCCCTAAAAGCTGCTTCTTGGGTGCCAGGCCAGCACCCCACAGAGCCCCACAGATGCTCTTCCTTGGCCCCGCCCAGTCCCCTCTGTCTCAGGAAGAGGGCTGGGCCCCAGTGACACTCAAATTGGCTGTCCTTTCCCTGGGCTGGTGTTATGCTCTGCTGTCACCATCTTGAAATTCTAATAATTTCTGAGCAAAGAGCCCTGCACTTTTCATTTTGTACTGGGCCCCCGAAATTATGTGGCCATTCCTGTGGATCTCCCAGGACCCCACTGCCAGACCTCTGGGCAGGGCCAGCTCTGGGAATCAAGGATCCACCCCCCGCCCCCCCCGCTCGCCATATCAGACCTCCCTGCCCTGGGGGCCGCTGAGGTGAACGGAGCCCCCTGAACAGCAGCTCCCCCAGCCCTCACTCTCTAAGACACAGGCCCAGTCCTGGGGCCTCACAGCCTCTAGCGCCCCCTCTGGCCCTGCTGACGGTTGCAGGTGGGGCTCCAAAGCAGGAGGAGACCCAGAACCTCCACTTGGGGCCCAACTGGTGGGTGAGCAAGTGGAGACTCAGGAGGACGTGAATGCCCCAAAGTTGGAGCTGCATCAAGGGAGGAGGCCTGCTGAGAGCCACAGCCTCAAGTCCCTCTGAGCACCGGGGCACAGGCGCCTTAAAAACAAGGGGAACCCCCGCCCCCCAGGAGCCTCAGGGAGGTACTGACAGAAATCACAGCAGGTTCCATGCTGGAGACTTCTCCTGTCCTATCCCCCTATCATTTTATTTTTTAGTTGTAATTGAAAGTATACACAACAAAACATACACCAATTCAACGATTTCTCCACGTACAATTCAGTGACATTGATTACATTCTTCGAAGCATGATGTCCTTCTCCAGGAACTGATCCCTCCTGATAACATGTTCAAAGTATGTGAGAAGAAGTCTCACCACCCACACTTGTAACGAGCATTTTGGCTGTACTTGTTCCAAGACAGATTTGTTCCTTCTTCAGGCGGTCCACGGTATATTCAATATTCTTCACCAACAGCATAATTCAAAGGCATCAGTTCTTCTTTGGTCTTCCTTATTCATTGTCCAGCTTTCGCATGCGTATGAGGCGATTGAAAATACCGTGTCATTAAGGTCAACTCCACTTTGAGGAGACAGCTCTTCCCCAATCGTATTTTGAGTGACTTCCAACCTGAGGGGCTCATCTTCTGGCACTATATCAAACAATGCTCCACTGCTATTCATAAGGTTTTCACTGGATAATTTTCTCAGAAGTAGACCACCAGGTCCTTCTTCCTAGTGTGTCTGGAAGCTCCACTGAAACCTGTTCACCATGGGTGACCCTGCTGTTATTTGAAACACCAGTGGCATAGCTTCCGGCAACATACAAGCCACCACAGTACGACAAACTGACAGTTCTTCAAAGAGCATAACCCTAACCCTAACCCTAATGCTCAAGGAAGAGATTCTTCACTAAATAAGCTCACTGTTGTTTAGTTTAAAGAAGACCTTGGAATATCTTTGGCTTAAGGTTTAAAGATTACCTTAGGACAACAGTTTCATCCAGCCGCCATGGCTCCGAAAAGTCTGGGCTCTGTAGTAATGTGGAATGACGTTCTGCTTTCCCCCCGCCCCCATTTTGATCAGGATTCTTCTACAGAAGCTTGGATCAAAAAGTTCTGTAATGGTACCGGGTACCACCTAGTTCTTGTGTTCTCGTTCACCCCATCTGTTTGACAATCTAAGGTAGCTGTTATCTTCATTGTGCATATAGGAAAACAGAGGCCCAGGAAAATTAACCTGCCGGGGGGCCCTGAGCTTGTGAGAAGCAGAGTTCAGGTCCTACCCTAGGCTGGGTGTTCCCAGAGCCCAGGCTCCCTCCACTGCACCCCGCTGTCTGCCTGTGCAACTTGGCTGAGGGCCGAGGGGAAAGGGCCAGAGTGAGGACCGTGACGAAGAGAACTCAAAAGATGTCCAGGAGGCAGCAGTCGCAGGAGCGAGAGTGTGGCCCCAGACAGGTGTAGGTGGGGCCCAAGGACAAACAAACGTCTTAGGCCGAGGAGGCCACCTTGGGAACCGGCCCTGACTAGGCCAGTCGTTCATCCAGTCACCACAAGAGCAGCATTTGGACAGAGCTGGACTCGTGCGAATCTGGGTGCAAATTCTGGCATCAGTCTCCTAAGCTACAGAAGGGGCATCACAGCTACTCTGGAGGAGCAGGTAAGGGTTCTTATTACCAGTAAAATTTGCTAAATGTTTAGCTAAAGCATTTTGGAGGCATTAACTCGCTTATAATATGTTGTTGTTAGCGGCTGTCGAGTAGGTCCCCGATTCATGGTGATGATGCCCGGTCCTGCGCCAGCCCCATGTTGGTTGCACATCCAACCGTTGTGATCCATGGGGTTCTCATTGGCCAGTTTTCGGAAGTCTTTCTAATCCGTCTTAGTCTGGAAGCTCTGCTGAAACCTGTTGGGCATCCTAGCAACATGCAAGCCCCCACTGACTGGCGGGTGGTGGTTGCGCGTGAGGTGCGTTGGCTGGGAATCAAACCCCAAACCCGAGTCTCCCACGTAGAAGGCAAGGATTCTACCACTGACCCTCCCCTGCCCTCGCGACGCTTTTAGGGGCTCACAAAAGTGTTGTAATTTATTTTAAAATCAGGTGAAAAGTGAATATAATAATAGTGAATATATAATCATGAACCCAGCCTGGATATATTTGTCTTCATACCAATGCATCGTAAGATTTAATTTTTAATATTTTTTGTTATAAGTTTCTGCTAGTGGCGCCCCAACAGAGGGGTGGAGACAGCTGTCCACTCCATGTACAGGTGACAGAGGAATAAAGGGGTGCATTAGTGGTAGAGAATTTTTTTTTTTAGACTTTAGTTTTTATTTATTTTTTATTATTGTACTTTAGAGGAAGGTTTACAGAACAAACTAGCTCCTCATTAAACAGTACACACATTGTTTTGTGACATTGGTTGCCAGCCCCACAACATGTCAACACTCTCTGTTCTCGACCTTGGGTTCCCTATTACCAAGCTCTCCTGTCCCCTCCTGCCTTCTCGTCCTTGCCCCTGGGCCCGTGTGCCTCTTTAGTCTCGTTTTGTTTTATGGGCCTGTCTAATCTTTGGCTGAAGGGTGAACCTCAGGAGTGACTTCAGTACTGAGTTGTAAGGGTGTCTAGGGGCCATACTCTTGGGGTTTCTCCAGTCTCTGTCAGGCCAGTAAGTCTGGTCTTTTTTTTTTGTGAGTTAGAATTTTGTTCTACATTTTTCTCCAGCTCTGGCCAGGACCCTCTATTGTGATCCCCGTCACAGCAGTCAGTGGTGGTAGCCAGGCGCCATCTGACTGTACTGGACTCAGTCTGGTGGAGGCCGTGGTAGTTGTGGTCCCTTAGTCCTTCGGACTAATCTTTCCCTTGTGTCTTTGGTTTTCTTCCTTCTCCCTTACTTCTGATGGGGTGAGACCAGCGGGGTATCTTAGACGGCTGCTAACAAGCTTTTAAGACCCCAGACGCTAGTGGTAGAGAATTTAAAAACAGTAATAAAACTGACAATTCTGAACAATGTCAGTGGTAAAAAATCCAACCCAACAGGGCAGGTAGCTACGCA